CAAAACTCAGCGGGTTTATTAGGCTTTACTGAAGGCCTTATAATCGGAAATTTTAAACCTTACCTATGTATACAAAAAGAGACAGTTACTAATCTTCCGTAACCCTAGTAATTCATTGTTATTTTGGGTTACACAACGTCTTCCCACTTATCTAATGAGATATGACCACATTTATCTTGATGTTTTCTAATTGTAATTGAGCTTATGTAGAAATGCCTTGCTGACGAGTGCCAAAAATGCACAAAACCTGGGTCCACGGCTTGCTGCCGACCGCATCCATCCAACCAACATCTGTCTCAATGCATCGTGATGGTGAGTCTACCAGCCACATTCAAAAATGGTTAAAATTCGACCAGCACTTAGGACTACACTACTTAAAGCTGGTTACTACCCAGTAACCAATTAATCTACCTAACTCAGTCCTATAGGAGGTCAGTTGCCACCCGAATACCTTAGTGGCGGCACATCTGACTGTAACACTAGGTGACGTGGGTTCGGATCTCGGGCGGGACATCAGTTTCGTCGAGATTGCAGACGGGTCTCGCTGACGACTGGTAAAAAGCGTAAAACATAAGTTAGCCTGCCAATTGCCTCAATCCAACTAACATATAGCTTATGTAATTCCTCAACAACTCCTTTACCTTGAATCTTTATTCGTTCGACATTTTTACAGATCCAGAATTATCGACTTAATGGTGTATAGATTACCATGTTGACTAAGCTATGTACTTTAAGGTTGTATGCAGCTGATGAGTATTCGCGTGATGAAGTGGCTTCATTTCGCTTAGTCTTGCTTTTACGAGTAAACGTAATGTGTCAAAAACAGAAATGGTTGAATTTGACGTGACTATACTCTTTTTCGAGAGGCCGTTACTAAACTGTTATTTGATAATTCAGTCAACTGAAAGGTGGTTAGCACATCAGTCTGTAAGATATAAATGAATATTTCACCAAATTATTTTTTATCTTTATTGCATCGATTATTGTTTGTCCTTTGGGTTCCTAGTGGAAAATAGGGCTTCAGTAAAACGTGGTCATTCCACTCTCTTCTCTGTAGTCTTTTGAACCAGACTCCACGACTGCCCAGAAGCTTTCATTTCTTCCTCACACGATCTCCTCCATGTCACCCTCGCCTCAGACGCCCAACTCGTCGTTTCCCATTTGGGTTTCAGTCGACAGCCTGACCTGGCACGTGATGTCTCCAATCGGTCTCCTCAGTGTATGTCCAATCTAATCCATCTCCACTTTCTTCCACATATTGTTGGACAACAGGTTCTTGTTTGGTTTGTTGCCAGCAAGAGTTCCTCCTTGTTTATTCTAATTATTCTGGCCATCTGATTTTCAGTATCAAGTGAGCGTAAGTGGCAGTTGTCGATGTATGTCTATAGTTTGTTGGAAATGATTTTCGTAACGCACCAAGTCTCTCAACCATCACACGGAAGTACTGACTTGACTGACATCAGTGTTGAAAATTCTGGTCTTGTTCTTTATGCTGAGTGCAGCAGATCACCACACTGATTTCATATTAATGCAGGAAGTCCTGCGTTGCTGTCATTCTGATCCTGGCTTTGACATCCTCATCTGTGCATGTGCCGCCTGTAGTTGAAACGATGCTGCCTAGGTAGGTAGGTGAAAGAGGAAACTTCCTTCAGATTTCTCCCGTTGATAGTGATTGGTGGTGTTGTTGGTTGTGTATCTTCATCACCTCTCTCTTCTCTACGTTCACCTGAAGTCCGTCTTCGCTGCCCCGCCTCACCTGTCAACTTTCTGGTTTTCGCCTGTAGATTCTCGAGTCTGTGCGACATTAGACATAAATCATCACCGGCGAAATCCAAATCTTCTAGGGTCTTTTCATCGGCCAAACAGCGTACGCCCATCTTCTCGTTCCTCACAGTCTCTTGCATGATCTAGTCCAGTTGACCACAATTAGGAAGATGATCGGTGATAGTGGGTGGCAACCTGATCTTACTCCTGTGTTCACTTCAAAGGCATCACTGAGCTGAGCTTTTCATTGTGAATCACTCGGCATGTAGCATCCTCATATAGCTACTGTTGAATGAGCTTGATAAGAGTTTATGGTACTAAAACAGTAGTGTTGAAGCAATTGTCAAATTACTTCTCGGTTGACGCTATCGAAGGTCTTTTCAAAATCGATGAAGAGATGACTGCGTTGATGCGTAGCGTTGCAATTTGATCCGTACATGGTTTGTTTTTCCTGAAGCCGGCCAGTTCCGGTCGTAATTTTGAATCTAGAGCATTTTTAAGTCTCCCCAGGATAATGCGGAATAATATTTTGCTTGGAGTAGAGAGGAGCATGATTCCGTGCCAGTTCTTGCGAATACTCAGGTCGCCCTTCTTTGGGAGTCCGCTGATAAGGTATTCCTTCTTTCAATCGACAGTTACCTTTCCTTCTTCCCAAACCTTCTGCAATGGTGATGTGAGCATGTCCGCTGATATCTCTGCATCAATATAACTTGCAAATGTTAGACTATTCGTTGTGATTTGGTAATGCGAAGTATTAAATTCAAAATAGACTTTCATTTGAACAACATATTCAAATGGAGGTCGTAATGGTGAATTAGAATCTGTTTCAGAAGCCAATCGAATAAAACACTAATGTTTCAAAATTACTAAGAAGTATGCAATTCCATCCAATGAAGCTATGAAAGAATAAGATTTATAGACGCCTGGATGTTTATTAGACATTTCGTTGAATAACCAAAACTTAATTATTATAAACGAACGAAATACTCTATTTGCGGAAAGGTTTTTCAGATACTGCAGCCAAAAATTACCAGTCACTAGAACCCTTTTGTCATGCTTGAATACATTACACAGAACGTGTAATCCTGATCCATCTTCAGTGTTAGTTTAGGGAATTTCTTAAGTAAGATAGTGAAAGAATACATGAGATAACATTCTCCAAGTAGTAGAGTTGGAGTAGTTCAAGGCATCTCCAATGTTTTACTTTGAGGCTGGGTTCTTTGAATTCAGTGGAAGAAGATTTCAAGTAAAGATGAAACTTAATAGGATTTCCGAAAATTTACTTGTTTTTGCATCATCTGTGCTACAACAGGGAATGAAAGGGTAAAGAAGTACAAAATTTTAGAAATGTAACAGTATTTATACGAGGAAGAAATAACCGATTGTAAGTTAGTCAAGATTTCGCCTATAATAACACTTAAAAACCCTTCGTTAAAAATATTATAATTAAGGTATTTGCTATTCTTCAAATTGACTGGTTACCACAGAGTAGCGTTGTAATATTGTCCATCCCCAAGCGCAGGCCGAATTCTATCGATTATATTCACAATGTGGTCACCAAACTAAGGGACTTATAGTTGCAGTTATGCTTTTAGTGATGCTAAGTGGTTTGGAGCAAGGGGGTAGCAACCAGTAGCAGAGTGTAGGTGTATCCTTGAAGGACCTGGCATTGTCTTAGTCCTAAATTCTCTGGCTATCTCACAGAACGATACAGTTCAGATATGTGAGTGGAGATCAAGTACATTCAGGTCACAGATATGTGTTGCTAACCTTTCTAACAAGTATGACACTTAGATGAAGAAGGACTCCTTAGTGATTATTTCCAATCACCTAACACACAGCAGTAGTTATCCTATCTAAAACTTGATATCATTTCAGAAAGTTTCTCCCTAAATTCGAAGTCATTTTCATTTCACTTTACAATCGTAAACTCGTAGTATAGTAAAAAACATCGCACACCATATATTTAACACTAACATGACCATAAATCTTTCTGTCTTATATAAGTTCTTGGTAAATGCATCCATCTTAACTTGGGTTTTCTAGAATACAGACAGTATTAGAATAAACTCACATATCAACAAACACGAACAATTTCTGAAACCAGAACACATTTACTTTATCCTTTAGTTGTGAATTTACTTATGAGATACAATGGACTTTAGTATCTGACTTCTCAGTTGGCAACTTCAGAACATAAATCAAACTGGCATTTAGAAGAAGAAACAATAGCAATGTCACATCACTTTACTCGACAGTATCACTGAGAAGTTATCCGAAAAATTGTATTAGTCCTAAGAATTCGACAATATGATAACAGCTAAATCCTGGTGACACATCGGTACACCCTTATTTTATGCATCACTGATATGATTGATTTAATTAATATGCACTGAATCATTTAGTACAAATTTCACTTGTTGAGCAAATAGCAATTACCATGAATTGTTGAACTAGATTATGTGAGATAGCTTTGAATCTAAATCAGGGAAATCTGTCACGGGCAAGGTTTTCGGTTAAAGTCACTTAGCATCGATTAATAATACAAACTTCATATTCTTTTTCTCATACATGGATACTAAGTCGTTAATATCTGGGGGAGACTAATAAATGAAAAAAGAAGATTAAAGTTTTTCCCATAAAATTACGATAAGGAAAGCTAATATAGAACGTTTGGATTCCCTCTTTTCCAGACTTAACTTTACTGAATAAAGTGAAAGCTTGTTTTATGCGTAAATGAGTTTGTAACGCAACTCACTCAGCAACCTTGTACACGTTTGTGTAGTAGACGATGAGCCACACCTATTGAGTGATGGCTAGTGATATTACCTGGCTGCTCAAACCTTGGTAGGAGCAGGAGGGTTTGAACCCGTAGCGCAGTGGTTGAAAGTCAACTGCCTAAACCAATGAACCACAGCTCTAGGAAAATTAGTAATTTATACCCTAGAGTCCAAGTCCCAGCTATTCTCACGGATAGATATGCTTACCATTTAGGCGAAACGAAATTTTAGCGAAAAAAATCAAATAAGAGACACACAGATAGAGGTGTAAACCCCTGGTACCAAAACCAATTGTTTCATAGCTGACTGCAAGCTTCTCCCAAGAAACTATTACTTCTGCAGCCAAACAAATCAGCAATTTTAGGAAGCCTGACACTAAAATTATAAAGAACGACCTGACAAATTATCAGTAACGTCTCTGAAAACAACTGCTACCATGACCATAATTATATTCTGATTGAATAACACAGGTATATGAAAATGCTATAGAATGATACAAAAATGAATTCATAAAAATTAGATATACACCATTGCTAAGCAAAAACAGACAAATCAACATACAACTTGGTGCAGAAGTGCATCTATTCAAGTTGTCATGAGTAGTCATTCGTTTTCAATCATTTTTAAAGGATGGAACATGAACTGATTTACAAGAAACATCTGAAAATCGCTAAAATTAGATCATGGAAAAGCCTTTTCTCGAACGACACATTTTTTCCGGTTTAACGTCTTATATTACTTCGGCTTTTACATATTCCATAGAGGCCACTATTGTACCAATCATCGATAGCATACAGTTTCACATTTACAAGATGATAATACGGATTATTCACAAGTTTTAGACGCCATTTGTTGAAAATGATTAACAACTCTCCATACATCAGAGAATATCAGAAGTATACAAAAAGAGGAAAGTAAGTCAGTACAAATTAACAAAGTGCATAACTTTTCTGTACAAATATATGAAAACTAAAGCATGGTCAAGAACGTCTTAGTGAGGTGTGCATACGACATGAGCATGAATAATCGGATCTATAATTGAACAATTCATCAGAAGGAGAATTTGAAGTGATTAAATTATGTGAATGCTTATGGCCAGTAGAGCAACCACCAGTGGAACAACCACTTGTAGAAGATACATAACGTCCATTCCAAGAACTCTTAGTCTTCTTCAATGAAATACGACCATTATGAACTGTGTACCCACTGGGATTGAGGTCAATATTTGGATATCTGATAATCAGGAATTAAAACAAGTAGACAGTTATTTAGGGTTATTTTCGTACAGTTAATAGAAATTGTGACATTTTAAAAGACGCACAGAAATCAAAGTATATCTAACCAAATAAACTGAATAAAGAAAAGTTTTTTTCTTGAAATGATGGGTAGTGAATTATTCTTATCAGGACATTAATGGATAAGAAATACAGTAGGTGAAATCCCTATTCTATACAGCTGGTAACAGAACAGTAATTCTCTGATATTCCCTTAATTTCCATTGGAAATAAATAAAAGAATAACGTACATTGACCAATGAATCACTTTTATAACCTATTTCGTACACTAGAAGACTTCACCAATTGATAGGCATTTTGATGGTGTATATTTCATTGGATAGTAAGCGCACAAAGTACATCATTTCATTGAAACCTTCCTAGTGAAAATCCTATATCAGTTTGAGCTTTAGAAGTGTTCATAATAATTAGTCTTATTTCAATTTGCCCTAAACACACTGATTAAAATTGTTGATTGCTCACCTAAAAAAGTTCTACTGTCTTAGTTTATTACGCAACTACTTTGCATTCTTGATTCCGGTTTTTTTTAGCACTAGGTTAGTGATGTAATTATACCCTATTGTTTTATAATAAACTGTTATATGTTTATGATGTATATAAATACGATTGTACAGCTTTAGAAAATGATATCGTCGAAAAAGAAAATTTTTTCGCTGAATTATCTCTTTTCTATTCCTCTGATGAGCTTAGAGTATACACACACAGTAGGTTCGTTACATCGTAACATTGACAAGATACATGGTTTTCTCAGCATTGAAAAATTTTTTTGAAATATTTTATAAGCTGATAACAAAAGCTAAGTCTTACAATTCGGAGCAATCAACCAGTTATTTCATAAATGTCATACAACCAGATCAATACTGTGTGAAGAAATATATAAGCTAACACTATATACGTCATCCCCAGTATCTAATAGCTTTGATTTCATCCATAATGATATGGTAACTAGGACTTATTATTTGGACACTTTTAAATAGCTATACCTGTTATTAGATAGAGTATGGTAAGATGAATCTGACTATTAATAGCTTACTTTTGAGTCATTCAACAGCATAGTTAATTGAAATATGCATTGTGCGAAGGGAAAACAAAAGTATAGCGAAAAGCTGTCAATCCTATTGAACCATTAAACTATCTTGAAAAGTGAGCTTACGGAAATCTGATGAAACATGCACACATATTCATGATTAAAAGGAAAACAGTTATATCAGCCAAGAAATATTTCTTTCCATGGCTTTATATCAAGCTTTATAAGTGTACTTAAAATAGACGAAGAGTCAAATAGTTACACTATAACTTTTTTCAGTCATCATACTTATCAAACAATTGTTATTGTTGTTGGTTGAGATTAGTTTAAGTGACCAAAATTAGTGAAAAGGAAGAATTGTTCTCAGGAGGTGAAATATAGGTCATGTGCTGTCAAAAAGTCTACAATGTCAACACTGATGATAAACAAAGTGGAATGGATTAAAGGTGAAGTCGAATAAAGTATGCTTGAAAAATAATGGTTACGTTGAGTTCTTTCAGCTGTGTGGTTTAGCACTGAAGCTTTCATTATCTTCCTATACAACATCAGTACTAACTTCAATATGAAGTGAGCTATCAGGATTTCTCCGAGAGTGATTCAGTAGCCGCTCCTAAAGAAGTGGCAAGTGATTGCTTGGGCTTACATGAATGTCAGTTGGTTAATAAACGTCACAACATGTATTTTCAAGTGGACAAGTGGATAACTATAAGCGTGAATCTGATTTTGGAAAGTTAGAGATCTTGAACAGAAGAAACACAAGGAATGCCGGGAAAGTTTTAGAAACTTGGCATTTAGGTCAGTCGACAATCAATAGAAGCACAGATATAGATCCAGTCTAACAACTAATAAAAAAGATGATAAGCAACTGCAAGGTTAGATGTCATGTAGAGGAGTGGTCAATAGGAAAACCTGTGCGGTCAATGAAGTTACGACTGATATTATTTAGGAAGATAATGAAAGTTTAACAACTAAACCCTACACAACTGAGAGAACGCAACGCCACCAAGATTTATGTGGTAGACTTTATTCCATTTAGCATTTAATCCATTTCACTCTGTTTAGTATACTTTTTGACAGCACATGACCTATATTTCACCTCCTGAGAACAATTCTTCCTTTCCTACTGATTTTCCATCAGTTTTGTCCAAACCAACAACAAAAACAGTTGTATATTATGTATAATAAGTGAGGAACGTTGTAATGTAACTATTTAACCTTTTGTCGATTGTAAATACAATGATCCAGCTTGATACAAATCTAACGAGGGATTCTCCTGTTATGTGTGACACAGTAATGTGTCAGATAAAATTCATTTGAGATTGACTTTAGACGGCACATAAAAAAGGTTTTAAAGTTAAAAAATGACTAGAATGAAGACGTTTAAATTTCAAAAGACAACTGACTACATTCAACACAACTATGAAGACAGACAATTAGATCAAAATGGGGAAATAATTGAGAAGCATTTAACTTAAAACCATCTCAATCCAAACAATTTACATGAGAAGATAATTACTACTAAAGTCGGCAGGTCTGTTTGCTTTGAGCTCAAACTATTCAAGTATTCGATTATTGGTGTTTTCAGTCATGTAGAGTAGAACCAGTGATTAAACCACATGGAAATGTACGCGAGTCGGTAAATAGATAGTAAAGTATGGTTTCTTTCTAGTGAAGTTGCGACTTGTATCAACTGAAGTGGTTAGGATGTGTTGTGCTTTGACAGGAGTAGGAAAATTGTAGAAAAATCAGGGTGATTATTCCAAAAGGCCGAGATGGTTAAAGAAGTCATTTCCCTAGAAGAACAATATTAACCAAGGTAGTAATAGGTTGGCAGGAAGATATGGGTTACTAGATAAAGACATAGTCCGGTTGTTGCTCTGACCTGTGTCAATCAGTAAGTATCAATATCGGACCTAGAATTACTGCGCAGCTTTTCAAGTCAAAACACCCCACACCAAGATAGAAGACAATAAAATGGAAGATCGACTGTTTCGACAGAGTCTTTGATTGCACAATCTTGGTAATACAGTTTAAAAGGAACCGCCACGATAGCACAGATATATTTGTTCTTTATCATCCTCGAAAATTCCAACATTCTGATTAGCCTTCATTAGTTTATCTTCTTTGCTTTCACATACTTTGAGTTTGCCTACACATAATTTTATATTGCACGTCCAGTCCCTCTTGCATTATTAGGTGTGGTAACTTATCTGTTGTTTCACAGTCACTGATTATTGATAAGTCGCATGAAGAATTCTGGGTATTTTGGATCGAGAAAATTGGTGCTTGATGACAGTAAGTCTTAGCAGCGCAGACATCTACTACACATATTACACTGCATGTCTAGCGATTCTAGACCAATTTATTCCCCATCACCTAATAACCGTTTTCATTTTTCATTGCATCTTAAGAAGTTGTTTCGGGATGTAGAAAATCGCTTCAGCATAATACAACGCTGTAACAACACATCATTAACACACCATCAAAGAAATGTGATTCAATCCAAGTATTTTATATACATCCACATCTTAAAAGCACAATGCATTTAACACTTAAATGATACCGGATATATTAGAGTGAATGATATAACTTGTTTGAAACTCAAAGGAACAATTAGTTAGTTGTTTATGTTTGCCAGAACAAAGTGATCCCAGTATCATTGTGTACTTTTAGCATGAACAAAGTATATTAATATCAATTTGTTACATATTTAATCAAATTAAACTAAAAAGTGAAGCTAGAAAATGGTAAACTGATATTTTTCTATATTTTACATTTAACCCAACCTTGCATTGAATAATATACTTACTTAGGAGTTGAACAACATCTTCCTTGATAATGTTTACAACTGCAGCTAACTGATGGATTTGAATGGGATGAACACATAATTGTTAGGCATCCATAATTGTCTACTCTACAACAATGTGCTTTGGATAGACAACAAGACTGCCTTGAAGACGGAGTGATATTTGTTGCTGCATAATTTGACGTTTCAGAAGTTTGATGCAACACATAATCTCTGTTTTGTTTCGAATCAGTTGGTAGATCACAGACGCAGGAAGTTACTGGCACTGTTTGTGTTGCTTTACTTGCTGTTGGAAAAGCAAATGTTTTCTCTTCTTTTAAGCTAAGACTACGCAAAAATGGTTTGGATACTTCATGAGTTTTCGACGATTCGTCATTCACACTAAACTTTAAGTGGAAAAAACAAATGGAAGGTAGAGTTAGGGTGTTCTGATACATTCAAAACAAACAAGAACAATAATGGATACGTTTATCTCGTTGCATAATTGGAAATGCGTAAATTGACACATAAAACAATTATTCAAATTTTCCACATCCATCGTTCTCTATTCATGTATCGCAACTGAGAGAGATTGTCTAATAGTTTCTGGTAGGAATACTTTTTTCGATGTTGCTGATTTACTTGGTCAAGCTGATCATCATCTAGTTCAGCACTAAACACCTTTAGTGGACGGCTCGATACTGCTATTAACTACATATGTTAATAGAAATAAGATATTATCACAATTCTATACTATATTTTATACTGGCCTTAACATTTGAAACTATGGGTGGTAGTGAAATAACCAAAAATGCTAAACACTGAATGTTAAATCATTTTCGCTCAATTTTCTCTTCTTCTGCCTATTGAATATCTTTTCACCGTCTTCCCTTTCAACTTTAAGCCAATTCGAAACTACATGTAGTAACATACCCACATTTCGCTTTCTTGTCATCTACACACCATCGTGTATGAAGTTTCACCATAGTATATTTATATTTGGTGAGTTTACATATCAGTGCATTGGTCTTTTATGAATTCCTTCAGTTGGCTAACCATGTGTTACACTGTTTGTCGGACCTATTTTTATCTTTATCGTTTTTGCTTTACCACACCTCATTATCAATCGTGGTTTGAGTTGCACACAGCTTTTTGGTGTTTATTTTGTTCAGAGATGCACTACTTGAACAATGCCTCTAGTGGTATGATAAAAACCTAGGTGTTTCACAAATTGAGGACTGTAGCTAGATTCTTGATTGTTGTTATTTTGTTACTATTATACCATATTCTACATAAATCTCATGTTTTGGCTTTGGGTTACTGATTATCTGAACATTTGGTGTTGGAATTCTTGGATAAGTTCTACAGTTACTGAATCCAAAAGTACGCGAATAATCTAGGCAACCCTAGTAATTTATACTGAATTGATCACACAACTATCAACAGAATGGTCTCTCACTGTGACAATACAAAAATGAGCTAGTGAAACAATTACCTAACTAATCTTCAATGATCCACTGAAAACTCGACAAGGTTGCCTTGGGAATGTGGCATCATAGATCAAAAACTTAGGACTCTAAACTCCTACTTCAAAGGCTAATGGATTGAAATGTTGATTTTTATTACAGCTTTTTCCTACCACTTAGATTTTGGTTTTACGGATGGAGGTGAAACTCTGAGATGTAAGTTCATTCGAACGATAAGGTCCGATTCGGTTTAGGTATGTCTTTACCAGTAAAAACCGAGGTTTCATAAAAACGTTTGCAGCGTCACACACTTCCCCAAAATCAATAGCCTAGGGTTCGACAACATTCAACATTGATGCTGAGCTTCATAATTTAACTGGACTCGCTAAACTGAAGGCACCCGGTCAAGCATCCTCGACATTTGTCACGCTATCGTGTTACGTTGCACTGCTCGGAATCGACCCTCCAGCCAGTTAGTTGGAACGCATCGGTATCTTGGCAAGACCTCGCAAATATACTATTCCATCCAACTACGCTATTGTGTTCTTTCTTGGCCTCGTATTCGTGGGTATATAAGTTCAAATAATTAGTGGTTGGCCTGTGCATCTGTCAAGTTCGCACCAGGACGATTCCTAAACGTTTAACAGTTTGCTTTGGGAAGGATACTCGAAACAACAAAAATAAAAGAGGCATCTGAATTGAGTTTAAGCTAACTTCTTTCATTAAAAAACTTGACCAAAATACATAAAAAAGGTTGAGAAGCAGACTGTATAGCAAGACTAATTTAACCGATATCTGAGATAATCCGAGATATGAGTTTGATTAACACTGTCATTATTCTATAAATTGATGGAATGATAACACGATGATCATAGCATCTAAAATATATTGATTCAGGCATAGTGAAGTTAATTCAAAATAACTTATCATTCAGAGATCTAGTTCTATACATACATTAACTAAAAGCGACAAATTTTTCAGTAACCCGACAGGTTAAAATGTTCTATACGAAAACAATAGGCGACGAAACATGAGAACTTACTTTATGGTCATATATTTTACGCTCGAGTCGGACAGCATGAAGCAATTCAGTAATCATATTATCTATGCCAAGAAGCAAATCCCTTCGAGTATCATTGGACATCGTTGTATATCCACAGTATCTACAAGCGGCCTAAAATTGTGAAGAAAAATACATTTTGTAGCGAAGAATCCTCTTCTTCAAAGTTATGTTGATGAGAACTACACTGTAGGGGGTTTGTTTAGACGTGAGTAATCCAGGACTGCTAGGTATTTTTCTGTGCAGGATTGATTCGTTTAATTAACAAAAGTATTCATTTGTGAGGATAATCTACAAAAGCTGGTGCTAAGTCAAAACATTTAATGCCCATCCGTGTTACAACCGGACGTATAGCCTTTACCTCTAAAAAAATTTGAATACAACCACCACTAACTTGGCAGCATGTTCAATTGAGTTGGATAGAAAATCGATGTGTGTAAAGAAAAGCAGAAAAATTACACCGTAGCTAGTGAAAATTTGTTTTAAAAAATGTACTAACAGGCAGTTTACAACTATCAAGCAACAGAAAAGTGTTATTGATCCAAGTGGGCGCTTGATTTCTGCTTCCTATAAGAAAACGAGTGACTGAGACTAACTGGCAGGTACGGCTTATCCTACCTTGCCACCAACCTTTTTTAATGATACTCATTATTGTCATGTAGTAGTACGATTCATATTACCATAATATTGTTGCATTTTATGTGATGTATGTGCATATGTATCTATCTAGTTTTATAGCTTGTTTTAGCGCCATCTACTTGTTTATCGCCTGCTTCTCTGGTCAAATAACGACTCCTATTTCACGCACTGGTTTCACACAATAACCCTTAACCCTATAGATAGCTACTACCTTGACGTTTTTCATCGCGGATGACCTGTAGTCTATGCCGACGCTATACTCCGCATGGGAACGGGGGAACGAAAAAATCGGCCTTAAAAATCCAACACCTCTTATTGCGTTACAGTCTTTCGGTATCTATAGTTAGAATTTTATAGCCGAATAAATAAAAATAAAAAAATTAAATCTCAAACATCTGCTACCGTGCAGAGATAATTTATTTCATATTTTAGGCACCTTGCCGAAACAACTTTCATGATGTGGGCAGTTGGGAAGTAATAACTGTCAACATTCTTCTAGTAACATTAGAAACTAGTCACAATCTATCTTTATTCTTGTTTCCTCCCTTACCTTCACTTCCCATCCTGCAGCCATTGCCAAAGATATAAGCCAGCAAAACACTATTTCTAGTCTCCTAAGACCACACTGACTATTTCACATTGGAGCTTTCGGCATTCAAGTCTGAAAAAGCCTCAGTTGTCAAAACTCTGGAATCTTCAGTCACGGATGTACACACTTTTTGAAACATACAGGACTTAATGATAGCAGATGCATACACTCTTTATCATCTCCAAAGTCTTGGATATTCCATTAACCTTTATCTATTTACTCTATCAACTCATACATGTTTGCATAACTCAGTTTCATTTTTCGTATTCACTTCTTCCTTGAATGCTGCTTTAAAGTATGACAACTTGAACCAATGCACTTCTGTGCCACTTTCAACGTTGATTTATCTGCCTTGAACTTTTATTTATCACTGCAATGTAGAGCCCATTGGTGCAGCTCTTCATGGCTAACGGGTTGAACCGCTTGAAACAGCTGATCACTGTTTATTCGTTTTCAAGTCCATTTTACCAGGGCACCTCATGATCTGAGGTGTGTACGTTGGCTCATCCTTTAGTCAAAGATGGTGTTACGATTGCAGGATCTTTCGTGTCACTCGAACGTTCAGTACTGGCTTCACAGGATCGTCGCTTAAGCGTTTAGTTTCGAATTCTCAAGTAAACTCTGTGAATTCTATTTCAGTTGACTGGTTATGTGTGTCACACAATGATATAGAATTTATTGTCCATTCATATCAAGGACAATAGATTGTCCAAAATGTAATGCAATAAATAATACTGTTTCAATGTATGGTACATCTAATAAACCAACTGAAATGGAATTATCCTGCTACAGTGCTCAAATTTTACTCTCACAGGATCCTGAGAGTTATACATATATACATGTGCGTAGGTAGTAACGAATTTAATAAATAAACACATGAAAGCATACAGTCATAAAATCCCGCTCATATTTAAGAAACGCTCTCTGACCTTTAGTAATCAGTATTCAGTACACAATAATAAAGTTAGTAGGCCACTAGTCATTTCTTATTCCCTACAGCAGAAGCATATAAAGGGAAGAAAAGGCTGTAGTGGTCCTGAAATTGTTGGTTCAGCATGATGCAAACTTCCCAGTATTGTTTCCGTACCTCTAACATGGCTGTTAAACAGCTAGACGCATATGAAACACAGAACAGCACTTTAAGCAGCGAAATCCTTACCGTATATGCCCTCTTGAAAATTCGTTGTCATTCTGTAGAAGATCGTGAGTTTATAGAATTAACCAAACACACCCTAGACTTGTGGCTAACGCACCCTCCTTCATAGGCAATCTCCACTTCACTTACTTCACATGGGCCATATCTTGCAGTTCATGATGATAGCAATGATGATAATATTTATTCCTGAATATACAGACACACTATATCTGCAGGCACAAACAAGTTTCCATATAAATCACGTCTTCATGGAAGGTAATGTCAATCCCCATCAATCGTCACTAGAAGATATAATTGCTGCATGTTCATATAATGAAACATCCCAGCTGAATAAGTATGCGGAAAATTTAGAAGTTGGACAAGTGGAAGTATTTTCTTTACACTAACCAAAAAGGCCAGGTTTGTATCTCGAAACTACATGTATTACCTGGAGAAAAATAGAGCTCGAAGCTAATACTTCCATTGCTACAGTTTGTACTTTTTGGTTGAGGCAGTAATGAAACGTTTATGAGGAAATGTATGCACAATTTGTTTACTTATTGTACTTCATTAGTGATCCCAGAACTGTACTAATCATGCACATTAATACCATTCCACATCAGAGATTCATAATCCTGATGAATATTACAGCTGAGAGCCAAATATCTCCACTCTTCTAACTCCGGCATCCAGAAGCAATAAACTTGTTTGAATGCACCAAGTGGACTGGCAGGAAATCTTGTCCGCCGTTTTCACAGGTCGTGATGGCCCTGTGGTCGGTAAGTGTCGGACTTTCCTGGTCACTTCTGCAGTGAGTAAATCCTAGATTTAGGTAACTACAGAGTTTTAGTCCAGTGAGCATTTTCTATTCCTGTTTGTTGTAGTTAGGTATTGTGAAGGCAGTTAAGCTGGTAGTTTCGGTCAAGGCCTGTTCCTTGAGTAATTAATCCTCGATGGCGACCAAGCTCAGCACCTCAGCAGGAAGTCTGTTCCACAAACTGGAGAATTTGGCGTGAAGTTCACGAGCAAGCAGGATCTGAATGGTTCCATTATGACGCTGTGGGCGTGGTTACGCTGATCGTACCGACTATTGTGTTCGAACCAAAACTCACCACTTGCTGTGGAACTGAATTTACGTAACACATCAAAGAAGAGTCTCAGGTTAATTTTGAGCCATCTCATCTAAAGTGGTTCTAGACTTAGTGTTCTGCATCTGTAGCTGTGGTCCTGTTTGCAGTCGTGTCCTAGTAATCTAGCTGTGAAATACCTTCGGACACCCCCTATTTTTTTGTCGTTTATAACTGGACAATATTCTAATAGTGGGGGTACATAAGTTTTATAGAGCAGTAACTTGACTTCTTTGAGGTGAAAGGTACAAACTATGCAACCCATTAGGATCCTAGATTTGCGCGTCTGTGATGCCCCTGTTCAGAGGACGTGAGATCCCTTGAATATCTTAGTCCAAGGTCACACACTTTTGAGGACAGGTACAGCATTAGTCAGAGTCCTACAGTAAGCAGTGGTGTGACAGATACCTTTCTTCACGGTCTTGATTAGATTTTGGGGAAGCTTCAGTGATTAGTTTCTTTTGACAACCCTGCGCCTGTCACCTTTGAGGGGCTAAAACACTTTCCTGTATGACATTTCGACGCAGGACCCAAGATCTAATTTTATGTTTCGCAATATGTACATTTACCTAGGGTGGTCTGCATGATCTCTCACATCCAAGTAGGCACACCATAAACAAGCTGAAATCAGCTGCATTTTTCTGGCCGAGAACAGCTCTTGATATCCGCTGGTGGACTCGTACGTGTGTAAAATGTATTTAAGCTTTTTCCTAGACATTCGGTAGCCAGAGAAAGATGATGATTTCACAACAAGTGAGTACGATCTGAGAGATAGAAAACTTGTGGACACACGACGTGAACCAGAGCTCAATAAGCTACCTAAAATCATTGTGCTTCATCTACAGCTGCAGAGTAGACGGACAAGGGTCGCTTGTTCATCTTTGATAAAGTTTTACGCATCGTACTTTCTTTCCCCACCTTAAAGAACAGTCAGGATGCATTATCAAAGTTCGATTTCAGTGTGTACACCACCTACAAATAGGTCTGAAAACGCAAAACCATTTTTCAAATTAAAAAGGGCCAAGGTGTTCACGTATGTCGCCAGGTGGCAGCTTGTCTACTACAGTTTTTCAGTTACCCAACGTTCCCTTTTTCTTTTGCAGCCCTATCCCTTTATTTACCGGCCTCGTATGGTTTCCGTACTGCAGACAAGTTGAAAAGCGTACCTTTATGGATACAGTTTGGATATCGATGACACGAACTGGCTCGTTCTTTTCTTTCACGTTCCGGCCTGTCTAATGCATCTCCTTTTCAGCCTAGTGTTTACTGCGGAAGCGTACAGAGTCTGTGGTTTATCATTGCTAGGGCGGCCGGGTCCCAAAGCAAGGTTCCGTTTCCTCACCGGCGTGCGCAGTCGCAGTAACCTCTGAGGCAAACACATCACCAAAGACATCTTTGATGCAGAAACTGTTTATATGCCTGCCCTCGTTTATTGTCCACGGCCGGTGGTTGCTGATATTTCAGCAACCTCCTGCACGGGAAACCACCTGCATGGCACCCTTTTGGCATCGAAACACTATTCAGTTTAGAAAGTGGGTATTTCAAACATTAAATATTCATCGCTATCCGTCATGGTGTCGCTGAGTGCTTGAAGTCCTCTTAGGCTCACTTAAACCTGTGAACATCCAACAACGAATCCATTTTGTGCTGGTTAACAATTGTATCCTCATAGTTTCTAGTTCAGTCAAATATGATTCATTAAATTCTGAATATTTTCAAAAAGTAATTTCTAACCAAATACCAGTCAAGATAATGCTCTTCTAAGCATTCTCACTTTGCTAGATATGTCTTTCCCCTCATTTTTCGCTACCAGTGCCTTGACGTAGGCAATGTACTGATCATAGTAGCACCTTAATTAAAATAATGTTGTATATGCTAGTTAACGCCAACCCTATCAGACACCGCAAGATCCCAAGCCGAGGAACCGAAGGACTTTTTCCGCCTGTTTTCAAATTAGTAATGTCCAAATTCCAGAGTTTCATGCCCATTGGGAAACCCACTGTTAACCTGGGGTCATGTTTTCCTCTTCTTATACTACTATCAGCTGAAACACATGGGCATTAAAGCAAAGCCTTTGCACAAGATCAGTAAAAGAACGAGAGGCTGGAACCCACTTGGATGCAACTACCTGTTATCGATTATACCCGACGCCACAGAGCTCAGCAAAACGTCAGGTGTTCTGATTCTGCCATGAAGATAGTGAGATCACTTTTCTGATCAGGAAACTATGTGTGTCACCGAAGTTTAAGAGCTTTTTGACACACAGACGCTTGCACCGGAAGCGACTAGAATTTCTTTCAGTGTTCTCGCATTATAATTTTTCCAAAACTCATAAAATAACCTATCCGACCGGGGCTTACCAACGACTTGCTACGACGCACTGAGTTACGAGGTGTTGGGCACGGTGCAGTCTCGTGCCTGTACATCATCTGCAGTGTGAAAGAACTTAATGCAGCGCGTTATTCACTGGATCAACATCTTGCTGATGAAGCTTGATTTAACCTTGCTTCAAACTATTTCTGTCTAATATGAGAAAATTCGGTCTACATAGTGCTTACGGTTGTTGCCTTGGGTCATGCACAGCGCCGCAATTTAGCGTTTGCTCGGATGGGACAAAAACATGAACCAATGAGGTTAACCAGTCATCATAGGCAGCACACAGGTAACCGTCTTCTTCAGCTTTTCTGAGTTGCATGCTCCAGTTTTCTAACAAGGACCGGCAGGCCGAACCAAACGTTGGATTTTTCTGAGACTTTTGCTTCACTTTGTGTAACCCAACTTCGTTTCCCATCCAACCAGGGGCTCACATTGTCCTATGTGTCTTGAATGCTCTAACCCAATACCGTGGCAAAGTTTTATGTCCTTTTTGGGTCGCCACATGCATGAACTCTAAGGAGACTATAGTTTATTGCATGGACATGAATCAAACGAGTTTTTTGACTGGTATGGTTTGAGAGTATTATTTGTATATCTGCACATTAAACTGTTCCAACAAATGTTAACCATTTGCCGAAACACGTTGAGAAACTGCCAAGATATGTCTCCAGTATAATATCACTACTTGAATCGTTTATTTCCCCTCATACTTTCGTATCAGCGGCGCAAAGATCAACTGAAGGACTCTGTGGTGCTCATAAACTTGCAGCTGTACAAATAAAGTAGCTGGGGAACCTAGGCAGCTCTTTGATTAATTTCAAGATAACGGTATGGTAATGATCTCGATTCTTTGTTAATTCATACATTTACACAACAGGTGATGTCAAAAGTTTCTGATTTCGTAAAAAAACCTGAAGCGGGTGACCTAGTCAAGCACCCACTTGGATCTACGAAAATAATGCATGGAACTTTCAACCACCCTCAAAACTCACTCAAAAGTTCGCGTCCCGTGAGAACTAACCTCTGTAAAAGTCATTCCGTTGCCTGTACGCAGCGATGCTACTTTCCAAATGAGTGATGCATATATCCCTGATAACCTATGCCGGGATCTAAACATGAAAACCATTCAGATATAATGGTCTGCAACTTCATGTGCGTTATCTAGAGCCACCGTTATGAACACGACCAGCTACGACGCTCTTCTAGGTGTTTCTGTTGTGTCTTGTTCAGGAAACATATAAAGTCTGGCATTCAGCACACAACCCACGTGGTCTGTG